TCCTCGTTAGACATACAACAGCACGGTGGCTCTGCATGAGCTAACTTTTCAAAGAAAGGGAGTTCCTGACACCCCATTCTTTTATCATCTTTCCACACCAGTCCTTGCCCATCAATATAAGTCCCTGTGTAGGGCAGAGGTAACTTTAGCTAATCTAACTTTGTTGCTGCGTATGCCAAGTACTCGCCTGAGTGTATAGTAGGAAGATGTTTATAATCTGATCAGTGGCCAACTAACTACTCTAGCACCACTGAATCTTGTTGACCTTTGAAAGATTAATTTGTTTTGATTATCTTGTTCCTGAGTAAGTGCAGGGGCAAATGCTGTAAGAATATCTCAGAGTCATAAAGAGACCTCCATGTGTGTTTATGTGTGTCACAACCTCCAAGGAATAAGGAAAACCTTAAAGTAGATAAGGATATTTCACCAAAAGATGGAGGGGTAGTATGCTCAGTATTTTCTTGGGGAAGCTTAGAAGCAGTACTTGTGGAAGAAGACATAAATGATTTGTAACTGATTCATAAGAAATATTCCATCAAGGCAATATCCCCAAGTTGTACAACTATTAGAAGTCCCCCTAAGTTTGCAACATGTTAAGATCAAAATCAGAAGTGTCACAGCAACCATGAGGCTCAGCTTTGCTGGATCTTTCTCAAGCAGCTGTGCTGGCTTTATGACTTTTGCTATTCCCATCAGATATGGCTGTGCCAATTAAGTTTTATTTTTTAAACTTTATATAAATATTAAATAAATGCTTTAAAAGTAAAAGATAAAAACACATAGTTCTATGCTATTCATTATTAATTAACGATTCATGCTTTTCTAACTGGAAATAATTCTATTCCAACTATTTTCTTGCAGGTGCCATTTTTTTCTTTGACTGCACAGAATTATATATATATATATATATATATATATATATATATATATATATATATATACAGATATATACTATATATCTACATAGTCTATTTACCTATTGATAGTAAGCTGGTTTGGTTTTTTAGTTATTGTGAATAACTAAGTAAACTTTAAAAAAGGCGCCATAATAAATGAAGGAGAGAGAGGGGGGAAGGGGAATTAGAGCAATGTGTTTCCTGTGGACTGACATACAGAGGGCAATTATGGACACTGCTGGAAAGGATGAAGAAGAGCTGCAAAAAGATAAATGCCAGGAGATGAGAGCCATGTGAAGAGTGTAAATAAGAAAATATATGCATAAAAATTTCCTAATGAACGTCTTTTCTCTGTTAACTTAAAATTTAGGTTAAGCAAATGACAATGAGCAGGCAAATCATCCACACACAGAGGCATGATTATCATTTCAGGCAATTTATTGCTGTAGTTAGTGATCACCTGCCCACGTCCTGGTGTTTCTTTTAATGTGTGTGAGTGTGGGCAGCTCCCTTTGTGCCCACACAAAAATCGAGGACAATGAGGATAGAAAGGTTTTAGTAGTATTATAAACAAAAAACAGATTAATAAAAGTGATACATGGACAATTTCAAGTGTAAAGTAAGCGTTACTTTATATCATGTCTTTTATGTTCGTTGTAATTGAGAGAAAAATATTAGATAAATTGGAAAGAAATATGAAAAATGAACAAACTATGTAGTGCAGGGTGAAGTGAATTATCTGATGCTTTCATATCATGAAAGACAACACAATAGAAAATGCCTAAGAAAAGAACAATTGGCTTATTTAATAATAATTATTACTATCAGTTAAGAGGAATATCTGTAATTGTTTTTTATCTGAATAATGGAACGTGCATCAGAAATAATTTAGCAAGTACAAGAATAAAATTCACCAAGCTCAGCCAGATTTCTTAAGAAACTATTAGTTAAATGTTTTTTGATCATATAAAAAGCGATAATCCCAGAAAAAAACTTAACAGCTTAGCATCATAAAGTACATGTAAAATGTTATAAAACAGGAAATCATATGAAGTAAAAGTTTATAATATTTTTTACAGCTTTTTAATTAGAAAGGTCTTGGAAAAGAGAAAATGACTTCTTACAGTATATATATATATATATATATATATATATTAACACAATATTTAAATATTAATAATAGAAATCCTTAAATAGCATTCTACAAAAATGCAAATTTACACTCTTCTGAAATAGCATTGAAATATTAAAATATGAGAAACATATCTGTTGCTTCTGATGCAGTTTCTGCAGAATATATCAGTTACACACGTGCTAAGATGTATTGAAGATCAATGAAAAGCAGTGGGACTCAAATATAAAAATAAATAAATAAAAACATTAAAATTTTAGGTAAGCTAACAAGTCCAAAACATGCTAGAAAAAGACAAGGTTAACAAAGTGATTATATTAGAAGATCTAAAGGAAAATCTTTACTAGTATACTTCATGTGTAATTACATAAAAATAATATACTTACTAAAAATACAAGATATAAAAAATAAGCTCTGGCCGAAAAACAAATAAAATCCTTATGAAAACATGAGGAGATATAAAATAAGCAGATATATTTAGGCTTTTAACAGTATAGAATCTGTTTAAAATCTGATTAAAAATCTCAGCGGAGGGTTGGGAGAGAAATGATCAAAATGATTCTCAAAAAATGTTATGAAGGAATGTAGATTTAAATACAGCCTAAAACTTTTTTTTTTTTTTGGTTCTTCAAGACAAGGCTTCTCTGAGTAGTTTTGCGCCTTTTCTGGAACTCACTTTTCCGACCAAGCTGGCCTCAAACTCACAGAGATCCACCTGCCTCCCGTGTGCCACCGCCGCCCGGCTCAGCCTGAAACTTTTTAAAGAAATGCAAAGACCAAAATATACTTATAGTAGGTAAGTATAATATGTCTATTACTTATATAAGATTGCAAAGTAATTATAAAACTTCCAGTACTATCATACTAATAAATTAATACTCCAGCAGAACAGAATGAAAAAGCAACCATGATGAGAAGTTACAACAAAATTGGCAGAGCCAATCAGTGAGGAAGGAATGGAATGTGTGCTGGAGTTAATAAATTAAACATTCTACTTGCCAAACAAGACATTAAATAGTATTATTTTATCCTGAGAAGGAAATGCATCTGGGATAATAAATTTAAAAGTATTTAGGACATAAATTAAAAGCTATCCACAGGGATGAACTCTGGTTTATGAGCAGGCCTTTTGGAGGCCACTTCTATGATGGGACACCTTGTACAGCCTTGAGGCAGGGGGAGGGGCTTGGGCTGCCTCTCCTAAATGTACCTCCCCATGGAAGGCCTTACCTTCTTGTAGGAGGGAATGGGGTGTGGGTTGGGAGGGGGTGGCAGGGGATGGGAGGAGGGAAGAGGGGGATCTTTGGTATGAAAATGAATACAATTTTTTTTCTTAATAAAAAAATAAAACTATCCACAGAGGAATAAAACAAAGATGCTGTTTTTATTTAAAGAGCCAAAAAAAAATACGATCTAACAACAAATTGTCTTTAATCTTGTTGATATTTAGAGTATATATTAATTGCTCAGCATTAACAGTTATTTTGAGTACATTGAAATAAAGTAATAGCTTGTATCATTTATAATTTCTATGAAGAGTATTATAATATACAGAGATAATGAAGAGATTTTAAAAGACAATTACACTCTTGTATAATGATCTAGTAGTAAACATAGTATGCAACTCCGTGCAAATAAATATGGCTCCATTAGTAATTCATAAAGAAAAAATTGGTTAACAGAGTGTAGTAGTAATTACAGTGCAATATATTATTGTGATCATTCTAAATGACTTTGCATCCACCAGAGGGACAAGAATCTTAATTCAATGACAAAAACTGTTGTCTAGAAACATGAAGAAAATTTAGCTAAAACATTCTCAAAAAACAAAACCAAACAAAAGACTCCTAATAACTTACTGATATGCCCATAGATTAGCAGATCTCTCAAACCTCAACAGAGATGCTCTTCTTGAGGTAGATGATGAATAACACTGAGACTCTTGAAAGGCAAACTTGTAAATAAGAAGAGACTGTGCGGTGGTCCCAGATGTGTGCGTTATGAATGGAGGGTTAATATAGCAGGGATTGGTGGAGAAGGTAAAAATGATTAATTTATTATATAAAATTCTCAGTGAATTAATACACACACACACACACACACACACACACACACACACACACACACACACACACCTAGACAGAAAAATAAGCAATGAATTTGAGGGGGAGTACATACAGACGAAGCCACCTGAGAATGGTTGGAGGGAGAGGCATCTGTAGGGTTGGAGGGAAGAAAGAGACTAGGATCAATGATGTGGTTACACTTTAATTAAAAACAAACTATATAAAATATTGTTTTTTAAATGTTGACATAGAACACAAGAAAATAAACTCTTAACAGCTCCAAAGAGCAAAAAATAAAAGCTCCTTTCTTCCAATTTTTGGGGAGGTAGTTCTTCATCCAAAGCTAGAGGTAAGTGCAAAGGAACCTCTGTACTATCTATCCTTCTTTATTAATAACTCTCTCTAGTAGCCAACTGTGGTCTGAAGACCAGTTATTAGCAAGCAAAATGTTTAGTAAAGGAAACCAATATTCAGTGCAATAAGTCTTGATTCACTCACAAATGTTACATGAGAGATCACATTGTGAAACAAAACTCTAATTAAATTACCTATATTTTATGTTTTCAATAAATCTCTAAATTACTTGCTACAATTTTGGTATCTCAAATTTAGTAGAAATGTGTTGTTCATTGCTAGAAAACCACAGCTCTAATACATTTATACTTGAGAAGCAGGGATGTGCTAGAATGGCCAAAGTTAATGAACATTCACTTTAATGAATGTAAATAACTAAAAAGAAATGGAACAGTTCTCTGTTAGAAGTTTCTATTCTAAGTAATTGAAAATTCTGATATGTAATAGCTTCGGTAAAAAGAAAATGAATTCATTAAAATAAATAAAATTACCACTCATTTTAGGAGCACACATTTCAAAGCCCAAACTTAAGCATGAATTTCTTTTTCACAGCTGAATATGGATGGCACTCGATGGAGCTCTTCCTGGACCTTTATCAAATCAACAACAATTATTATTCTGCAGCAAACTCAGAAACAGCACTCTTGGCTCAGGCTGACCATACTGCAGCCAAAAACTCAAGCATAACTTCCATTACCATCGTGTGTAACCTGCCTCTCAGAAATACAAGGACAAGTGTACAAAGTGCTTTGTTGAAACAGTTGGATTTAGTCCTGTGAATGATGCTTCTGTAGATCATCCAGTCCACATAGAAAGGCCATAATATAAAGCCAGATTTGTAAATGCGGTGCCCACCTGTCTATCCTCCATTTCAAGAACTGATTAAAATACAGAAAGCCTTATCACAAAAGTCAGGCCACTTCTGGGAATAATAACCAGACTTGACTCAGTGGTTTGAGTGCAAGCAGTTGGTGTGAAAAGGATGTGTTTGGGAAGTGCCTTCATTGGGGCCTATGAAATTTTCATAGAATACTAGGGAATTAATGTAGGGATGGCAGCTGAAATAGATTCATGGTGCTGCTATAATGAACTGCCCCAAACTTGGTAGCTTAAAAATGTCCACGTTCACATACTTCTGAGTTAAAAGTTGAAGCCCTGGTGCCACAGAGACATGTTTATTGCCAAAAATCTAGAAGAGAATTTATTTTCACTCTTCTCAGTTTCCAGAAGCTGTTAAAATTCCTTTGTGTGGAATTACCAAATCCCAATCACCTTTGCTTGACTTAATTTTCTCTGTGACTCTGTGTGTGCTCAATCTGTCCCTTATGACAGGAGACCTTCATGATCCTTCCTACTCTAATATGATCTCACTTCAAATGACTTACTAATTTCATCTGAAAAAAACTCTATTTAGAGAGAAAGCTATAACTAAGTGTTTGGGGGATATAGTATCCAGTCAGTTACTAAAAGGCAGCCAGTTAGGTGTGAGCTAGTTATCAAATTACCATAATAAATAACCAGAGCCTCATTATTAGTTTCAAACTCTGGAAGCCCATGGAAAACTGCAACCTGAATTTAAACTGCAAATCACAAAATGTAAGGAATAGTGCTTCCTTCTCAGAATAGGTTGAGGCTCCTAGACCTAAAGGGGAAGTGAGATGTCGCAATAGTCATGCTCAAGGCAGAGTGGACTTAGTAACCAAGAAAAGTTCCATGACATAGAGACAGGACATTGGTAAGGGGAAGTTCTTTGAGTAGTCTCAAGGTCAGACCAGAGGTCAGACTGACAGAGACAACTGCTTCTAAAGGAAATGCTTCATATTACTTCATAAGCACACAAGAATTAGTACAGATTTTCTTTTGCAATCTAATTGAAATTTTATTTTCCAAATACCAGAAAGTAGACAGATATATTCCTATGAAAAGATTAGCTTTATGCTTAACCCTTCCTACCCAAAATCCCACACCACAGAACATGTATGCCTGGCCCTCTTACATATAGGTTTTTTTTTTCTATTTCTTTTTCTAAATTTTATTCTGGGCTATATTATAGAATAACTGCATGTAAAGTAGAAATAATGTTTTTTTTTCAAATTCCTGGTAAAATTGTGTTAATTAGAGAGTTAATTCTTTGTAACAGTGTTGAAATGTGGTTCAGAGTCTCAAAGGAATTTAAATTTTATTCCCTTTTTAATTAGCTGTCACATATTTGGCAAATGTTCATATGACCCTTAGACAGCATCTGTTTCTTCATAAAAATTCACAGAATATTTCTTGAAATTCAGTTTGGGTTTCTCTAATCTAGAAATCTGAAATTTGAAATACTCCAAAACCTGAAAATTCCTAAATTCTGACTTGACACCATAAGTGACATTTTCCAATACAGATAGCATGTGACAGCTCACAGTCACCTGAGACAAAATCAAGCAGACACAGCAAATGTTTTAGAAAATCACCTTCAGACTATGTGTAAAAGTTATTAAAATATGTATGAATTTTGTGCTTAAAATGTGTCTCATCTCCAGGATATTTCATGACATGTATTCTAATATTCAATAGTCAGAAATATGAAACAGTATTTGTACTAAGCATTTACATTCATACACATATACTACAACACGGTGTATGGTGTATTGTGTAGACACATTGGATATTTTGAGGCATGTAAATATGACTGATTGTGAATCTAGTATACAGGCTTCATGACGTATACCATCTTAAGGAGTAATTAAATTTCCCTGTTGTCAAACTAATCCTCATGTGGCATAAGAATGTTACAATGGGCAGGTGTTTAAGATGTGTGGGTATGCATTATGGTATCTGATATTTGTTCAGTTTTCTATAAATACACATTCTAATGGCTATATACACCAGATACAAACTCAATTAGCAAAAGAGATAATAGGAAAGAACAGTACTTGGTAAATGAATGTGATTAAGGAAAGCCTTAGGCAAGATTGCAAAGGATTTAAAAATGAGTTTGCAAAGCCCTAATTCAGTAATTTTACCTTTCGTCATATTCTAGACACTCTCATCTGACAAATTAATCAAAATCCTAACCATGTTGGGTACAGCAGTTCAGTTTGTGATAAGCTACCTACAATATGATGTATGAAACAATCTTAAAGCAGAGAAGAGACCAGACACAGTAAACAAGCTTTACTTATGAAATAAAGTTTTGATACTTTGATTATCCAACAACGATAACAATTATTCACACTGCTACCTGCCCAGTGTGACTTATGGTGATTCCCATCCAGTTTCTTACTTTCAAACAGAAATAAGGAAACAAAATTGATTTGTTAAAGTAGTCCTTGGTAATTTATAAGTTCCTAAGAAATATAGAGGAATATATAGTCAGGTTCAGGATCCAGATCATGCCTGCACACTCGCAAAGAAGTGACCATGCCTCAAGTCTGCCTGAACAACTCAATGCAACCATTGCTTCAGAAAGTTGATGCTACCCACAGCTTTGGTCAGAAACAAATTCCTTTCATTCTCTTCTTTTTCATTTTTCATTGTAAAGCCCTCTGGCCTTCCATTCCTATATAGGAGACACAAGGAAGATGCAGGTAAACAAAATGCACACAGAAACATGAACACACTTAAAATCAAAAGCATTGGCAAGGTTTACTAGCTCTAAATATGGGTGCTTTTTTCAATGAATGTAAAGGATGATTGAACTGCAGGAAAAAAACCTCACGTTGCTAATATACTTGTCTAAGAAGTGAACATACTTCTGATGTTTAAATCACTTTACAACAATAAAATTCAAGTCAAATTTTGCTACCTTTAATACTGTTACTTAAACTTCTGAGAATTCTTTTATATAGCAAAATATACATTTTATAGAGTTCATATTTTGTCACTATGAAAAAATGAATAATCAAAATAAAATAATTGTAGGAAAAAAATTCTCTTGTGCTACCCTAAATCATATCTAGCAACAGAGAGTATCACAAAAATGCTATTGAATAATCAGTTGTAGGTTTCTGAAATTGTTTTGAATTATATAACAGCTAGCACTCTTCATAGTTACTTATTGCAATTTAGATTATTTCCTTTACAGTAGAAGAATTATAATCTATTGAGATCTGTACAGACAGCTTTAGGCCTTCAGAAAAGAGCACATAAATAGATTATCCATTATACATTAGCCCAAATAATTCATCTAACCAGAAATAATCAAATAAGCCTTTAGGGAAAATTACTTCTAGATTGATCAAGGCTGATTTTTAAAACTCATTCCTCCATTTCCCTTGAACCATGTTAGAATATGATATTTATCATGTTCCTTTCATTCAAAATTTGTGAAAATTCACAATACCCCACATGGAACCAAAGTGTTTGTGTTATGGCATTTTGTGAGTTCTTTAAAATTAGGCAACAATTCACTAGCAGAATAATATATAGAATGGATTTGTTTAGAACATGTGTAGTAGAGGCAAGCAATTATTAATAAATATTCAATCTAAAATGATAATAGGATAAAATAAATCAACAATTAGTTTTTAGTTAAGCATAAGGTCTCACAAATACTTGTGATAGTTTCATGTTTAAAAATTAAATCATGTGTCACTCTCCACAAATAATTAATATAAAAAATGTATTCATGTAGTTCTGTGTGACTTTATATTCTTTGGATATATTCCAGAAACAGTTTTGCATTTGCACTGATATTCTGCTTGACATTAAAATACACTTTGAGCTGCAAATTTTTACAAGCCTTTGGTAATTAAATGGGAATCATTTCTTGTGATATGGGACTCTGGATGTGCTTGAAATGCAAAAGGAGGCCTTTAATTAACTCCTTATAAATTTATGATGTGACAAGATATTGTCTGTTTCTTTCACACAGGAGACCTCCCAGAGCCACACGATGCTTAGCTCAAGCTATTAGTTACCTTTCTGTGGCAGCAGAGCTACTAGAGAGTTGAATGGAACTCACTGTATCACGCTGTACATAAGAACACCAGCATAAAATATTAATCACATGTGGAATGTTACAAAAGAGAAAGTCAAAGAAGAAGGGGGATAGAAATCACCCCAGGATGCCGTACATTAGCATCAACAAACCATTCTTAATGGCTAAAGCAAAGTATGGTGGTCCAAGCCCAACATGCTAACAATTCTTATACTTTTGTCATGTCTAAATAATGACCTAGCCACAGTGGGATGTCCTGACAAAAAAAGAAAGGACTTCTGTCCTAATGGGGAAAGGAAAACAACACAAGTACCAATGTGGTGATGTGATTCCTCAAAAACAAGCCAATGCTGAACTTAGTAAACTACATTCCTAAAGTTGCACGTCTAATGTCACTGTCCTTTAGCATGAGAGGGACATTGTTATTATGCTGTTAAGCCAATTTATCTCATATAACACATCAGCTAAGCCAAAAAATCTAAGTGGTGATGATGGCTGAATTAGTTATATTCTGAGTGTATCTAATTACAAATGGGTCATACATACTTTAACCTAATGTTGAGTGGGGAGGTTTTAATTGTCCTGGAATTATACAAGTATAAAGTTAAAAGCCTTTAAAGACAAGAAACCAATTCTCTAAGAATAGTGATAGACATTTCAGATTGACAGAAAACAATTCAGGGGAATATTCATGGTTTAGACTCTGCAACTCAAAGATGATGAGTCAAAAGGAACATCTTAAGAGCTAAACTGAGGATGAATATATTAGATATTCTGAGACTATATCCCTTTGCTAGAGTGATTAATACAGCAGTATCAGCTCAAGTTTGTACACATAGTTGTGGGTCAAATGTCCTTGAAGTTCATTTTTTTGTGAAATTGCCTTGGGTCCCCTAGGAAACCATTCAGATCAACAGAT